AGTGATCATAGGAGCTGCTGTGCCTTTAGGTCTTTGGTTATCGGGACCCCGACGCATTGCTGGTGTCGGATGACACCAAGGTGTTCGTAACAAAGATGTGCGTAGGCGAGTGACGAGCAGTGATAATAGGGCTAGTTTCTTAGAATAACAAATAGCACTTAACAAGTTGTGTTGCCTTAGGCACGTACTATCTGGGCCCGGTCACTGCTTACTGATGATGACCTTGTGTTGCTTTCCAGATGCACTGTGGTGCAAGGCTCGAGGTGGGCAAAGGTTAACTTGGCAGCGAGAAATGAAGTCACGAGCGACCAAACTGAGTGCTGTTGGTCCGTCTCGCCTTCCAGGAGGGAGTCCACGTAAATCATCCTCATCATTATACAAGTTAGATAGATGTGGAAAATACCTCAGCTATTGTGCCGCAAAACATAAGAAAAGTTTGCAACAGAGGCACGCCAGATGGGGTCCCAGTAACCGATGGGCATCGTTCTGAAGAGCCACCATCCGACAATTGTACCGCCAAAAGGTAGACTATACCTAGAAAATGGAAGGGGATGGACAAAGGAACTTACAACACCAACTCTAGTTAGTCAGGCTCCTCGAGATGTCAACATGTATATCCAGCCACACATGCTTATCGTCTTTCGGACAACAACTAGAGAGAAAAGAGGCTCCAACCGATGTCAACGTCGAACTAAGGGCTTTCATTCCTCTTGATCGAGTCATGGATCGGCCACTCTTCCTCTCTTCATATCGTCACGCCCGGCGCCTAAACAACGCACGTCGCGGAAGTAGGTGAGCTGAGGTGCGCAAAATGCGGCCGTCATAGCAGCCTGGTGCGTGATATCCCGGTGCTGAGTAGCTCGTTTCCTCTTCCTGTAACATAAACAAGGCGTCGAACACACTCATTACACACATGGTGTTCCCACCAACCTAGAGCCAAGCTGCCTAGGCATCGGTAATCGAACTAGTTTTGTTGTCTGCCGATCTAATAGGTCAAGTTTCACAACCGTACAGTAGGGTCGAACGAACGGCTGATGTCGCATCAACGTCATAGGTGGTGAAGGTTAGCAAAAGCGCCCTGGGCTTTTGCGATACGGTCTCTGACCTCGGCTTCAATCTAAACGCCGCTGATACAACTGCCAAAATAATAACCTGTCCAGTGCAGCTAGGCACGTTTGTGAGCTGTCACATATGAAGGCAAAGTATTTAACTCGAAACGTTACAGGACATGGCTCAGTAGAATTCAATGGCGTGTCTACTGTCGTCTCCTAAACGGACTACCTGTGTAAAGTGTGTTTGGTGCTACGTTAACTGCGCGGTAATGGCCCATTATGACGTAGAAGAATAAAACCTGTCACGCCAAAGCCGTCAAATGTTTGTACGATAGCCAGCGGATTGGGACAGCATATTATTGACAAGATATAGGCGCCCTGACATTGGATTTAATGTCAGATTACCTTACTGTTTCAATGACTATAATTCATTCCGGCAGCGAAGCTACAGGCCAAATTGATTAGAAACTGCTGCGGATGATGAGGATGATGATGGACACAGCTGACGGACAATGAGCAAATATTAACCGGACTTAAATAGAGGCAGGTATGTCATTCAGAGGCAAATCCCAATAACAACGTCGACAAGCGATCTCGACGCAGTCTGTAGAACTCCTGGATGCTGGACGACAAGTTCTGCCTAGGGGCGGCTAACATAACGTGACTCGTAACGACCACAGAGAAAAATTGCGCGCCCACATGAGAAGATATCACGAAGCTTTGTGGTCTCATCGTAAATCAGAGATGGTAACAGCGACTTCTCCTGGGAATCATTATCAATCATTTCGTCTGGTACGGGAAGCGAACAGTCGACTTGTTGTCAGCAAAAATATATGTCACGAGAGTGGTCACATCCGCAACCTGTCAAAATGCTTGGAGTTAGGCTGATCAACTTGATAAACAGCTTAAGCTATAAGAATCACCAGATACGATGTCGGCCAGTGATCGAAATATTCCATCGGTTACCATTGTGAATCCACTGTACTTTGCAGAAGTCGAATGCGAGGTCAGGCTGTTAAAATTTAGAAACATCCCGCAGAACCAGATGGACTTCCCCCATCCCTCTACAAATGCAGTGGATCTGATCTCATGGGCAATTTACACAGCCTGATAGTGAAACTGTGGGAATAGGAAACTGTCCAAATCTGCTGGAGCTCCACTATTGTCCCCATCTTCGAAGAGACTCACTTTCGGAATGTGACACTCACAGAGAACTCAGCCTGATCTCCAGCGCCTCTAAGTTACTTGTCTCCTTCGTCCTTCACAGATCTACCGGTGCCCGTGAAAACCAGATTCACAAAGAGAAAGCCAGGTTTCGTGCAAACCGAGGCTGTATTGATCACGTATTCACTTTGCGTCAGTGATCGGAGCACTGCCAATTATATTCGTGGCCAGCGTACTCGTGTTCATCGAGTTCAAAGATGCATTCGATTCGGTGTATCAATAAAGAGGTGCCCGAGAAGTCCGTAAACACGCTTTACACATCTAAATCGGCGAAAGCGAGCTCTTATGGCAAACTAGAACCACATTTCAATATCTCCAGCATGGTAAGACAAAGATGCACGCTGTCACCTTTCCTTTTTAACTTTGTTATTGACCAACCTGGGAGCTGCGTTCACTGGAAACGACTAAGAAGGTGTTGAACTGCCTTCAGGTTATCTACTTCGGGAGTTGGAGTATGGTAATGTTATCGCGCTCATATATGACAATTCATAAAAGTGTCAAGCAGTATTGAACAAATTAGCATTAAGTGTTAGCCGTTTTGTGTTCAGTTTGCACACTCCAAACACAAAGATGGGTAGGGACCGCCCTCTTCAATAATTCGGGATAGGGATCCGTTCAAGTAGTTCAGAAACTCAACTAACTGTGCAAGTATATCGGCGCTTGGGCAACCGAAAATGAGGTCACAAAATGTATAGCAAAAGCTTGAGGTGGTTTTGTCGATCTACGCCACTTGTGGTGCCGGCGTGATATCGTTATAGTCCAGAAGAGTAGAGTCTACTGTGCAGCCGTCCGTTCAACTCTACTATACGGTGGTGAAACCTGGCCCATCAGAGCAACAGGCACAAAGAGGGTAGTTGCATTTGAACACCGGCGCGTTTGCAGTTTGTTCATGTTTTGTGCGGACTCCGCATGAGCAATGAGCAAGTTCGGCGTCCAGCATTTGGTGCAGGAAGAGCAGGTGTTTCAAGTATCAAGCTTCGGTGACTGGATCACGTGTTACGCATGCCAGCACACCGACTCCTGCGACCTGCATTGGTTGATCGACAGGGGCGTGAATGGGAGAAGAGGGGAGTCAACCGATGATGTTAGTTAGGAGGACTGGCGTCGGTTGGAGACACTCGACTCCCGAGCTGAGGTCCGAAAAACGAGGCACATCGTTAGCACGGCGAAGAACGGACCGCGATGGTGTCAGTATTGTGAGCGCCTTTGTCCCTTCCCATGACGTTTAGCCTCCCATTACATCCTAAATCTCATTATTGAGGCATAACAACAGCAAAAATAACTATTGTTCAATTCTTTATTCTTTACTAATTATTAGTTTCTTTTTTCTAATATTTCACTGAAAAGCATTGCGGCAGTGCGCCTGAGGCATTTTTAACCTCCAGCTAACCATCAAATTGAATGAATAGATAACCATGTTCAGCCTTAAAATATGACTTCAATCCAGAGGGCATTACTTGAAACTGGCATCACGCATAATCGGAAGATGTATTCTCAGATGATGCAAGGTGTACTATATAGTAACGAAGATAATCCGATGAGTTTTTGACAATTTTTCACTTCGGTAGAGAGGGGTTGGGTTATAAAAAGGGTACACAGAATTTGAAAAAAGTCACATGCAAAATCTACCCAGGAATTCACAGCCCAGTATTGTCCTTATCTCCTCTCAGCACGACCCGTTAGTAATGGACGGTATTCCAGACGGAGATTTGAAGTGCCTATAATTGGACATGTTACTTTGGTGTCGAAAATTCTCGGTATATTGCACGTTTGACGTCCGCGACAGATGGTAGTATCGAAACAAAAGCCTTTTAACATTATATTATGCCAGGCGATCCGGTGCCTTAAATATACAACGTCGTCCCACATCCCTGACCGTGAACTTCGCTCTCACTCACTGTTCTAATGTGGTGCCTATGCATGAGGATCACGACGACGCGAGGAGGACTGTCTGACACCCACTCACCCTACCATTTATAGTCGGCTGTCCTACCTGTTGCATGTGACTCAACGTCTGGTCACTACACTGTCCGGGGCGGTGAAAGTCTGTTCTGATGGCCCTACGCTCCATTAGCCGCGATAATAACACATTACGGTCACCACAACTGAGCAGGTTTCACCTGAATCCACTCAAGTGAGAGCAGAGAGTTATGACGTCAGAAGCGTGGGAAAACAATTTCGTTTCTCTTTTGCTGATTTGTAGAGGTTGGCTAATACAGGGACACACAACTTTGGCATATCTATAAATGGGCTTACATTCAGTAATATACGGTAACACCTGAGAAAAAGGTCAAACACAAGAAAGCTTTGCGACCATTGCGGCTTAAGTTTGGGGATTGTAGAGAACAAACAATCAGTAAAGGCGACATCTCAACGTCGGGAGGTAAATAGTAGCGAGGGTGAAATTATGGCACGTAAACATTCACTCCTAAATTGAGGCGGAGATAAACAAGGTTTTCACTATAGTATTGGAACTTGGTAAACGTACGCACTATAGTTCGATTAAAGGGTGAAATACAATAAGTGTTACAACTCGTAGTTACCACGAAGACCAATCGCAATCGCAGTGGTTTGGTCACCTAAACTATTTGTTGATGCCTAGAACAGTATTAATATAAAAAGCGCTAAGATACCGTGAACGAGACACTGGTCTCAGTACAATAGGTGGATAGTTCTTTAAATAACAGAATAGACAGCATCAGGCAGACAAATGCAGACACGTACGGACATCATGGACACTCTGTGGATCTTTCAAATTAATCCACATAACCTTCTGTTCATTTGTGATCGGGTCCAAAATAGCGATATGAGACGCCGAATTGACATAAGAATGTCGACTCTGGTAGCTTAATCCCTCTGGACTATCAACAGGAATCTGAAAAAAATGTAGAACAGAATTGGAAGTTGGGACAAGAATTGTGGGGAACAGGTCACACAGTTAGTGCCATCTGGTAGAGAACAGCTAGACAACAAAAGTAACTTCGAACGGGCGCAAAATGCGTAAACGGCATTGGTGGCTCTCAAATGTTATAGCTTTCCTTAAGGAAACAAATAACGCTAAATAAGAAGTGTCGGCTGTGGCAAGCGCCCGTCGATTATTTAGCAGGTATAGCAATGGCAGGTGAATATCGCAATAAATTTTCGGAAGACTAAAAAAGTGTTGTTCGTTCGATCTGCTGTCCTGGAGGGAGTACATGCAAATCGTCTGGAGCTTAGCTAGAGACGTTACAGGACGTGGCTCGCAGTGGCGACTAGTGCCGCGTCTGCTGTCGTCTTAGAGCCGGACCTCCTGTTTAAAGTGTGCTTAGTATTACGTTGTCTGTGGGGTAATGGCTGATTATGACGCAAGGAAGTGAAGGCCACAAATAAGCTGTCTTGCAGATGCCACCTTCTCTCCTTAAGATAAGCAGCTGTCCATGGTCGCATGTTCTGGTGTGGTTCTGTGTTCGAATATCTATCTAGGGCATTTCGGTTTCACACTGGTGGCATAGCCCATGACTAGTCGGGGATTGTAATGGTAACTTCCTGACAGACCAACGACCACAACACAACCTGAATGCAGACCGCAATCGAACAAGCACACTGTACAGAACCGTGTCCAGCCCGAAGGTGCGAACTGCGAAACGTTGCATACAGAAAGTGTAAAAACCGTGAAAAAACTATTTGAGACATACGAAGAGGAAATCATCAAAAGAACAGAAGAGCAGAAACGATCAAGCAAAGTTCATCGTGCACCGTCAGTGGCCTCAGTGCAAGTAAATCAAGGAGGAGACAAGGTTGATTGGAGCAAAGGAGTTCTTGGAAAACCGGTTAACAACCAGGAACTCGATAAACACGTGTGTTGAGTATGAACCTGTCTACAAATAGCTAAGAAAGGTACGCTTAAAACAGCAGGAAAAAAAGAGACCTGTCTTAGCAATTTCGCCAACGGCGAATGCACTCTTTGCACTGAAGAGATTGCGAGGATCCATACCATGTCGTAACAATATATAAAGTGGCTAATGTAAACCATGCTAACACTGCCGAGTACAAAAACCAACCCGGGTGAAGCATGCCAGTCAGCTAAATCCACACCAGATTTATGTGGAGTGAAGTTGTCGCTATTAAACCGATTTTTATTATTACTAATACTGCTGCAGCCACTACTACTACGCACTGAATATGTCTCATTGGTTGTCGACACACGATTGTAGTGGAATTGCTCAAATTGAAGAGCGAATCAACACCTCAATATCTAACCCGGATTACCAATATTTTGACTTGTTGCTGTGAACTACAAATTCACAAATTGCAAACTTGCAATGTATATCTTTCTTTTCTTACTCGTCAGCATATGTATACATTTCATTTTGCCTCGTTATGTTTTTGGTGCACAACCACGCAGGACCGTGACATTTGTTTATTCGCATCACTGTGAATAACCGAAGCAGCGTCCAATTGGCTTATAATCACGCATAGCACCGTTAACGTGTTGGCCGCTGCTGTCCCCCTCAGCGCTGCCCTCCGTCTGCCGCTGATCGGGAATACTGACTGCTGTGTGTTTCGGCTCACTGCTGAGTAACATTGAGGCGACGTCTACAAACCTAGTCGTAAGTCATTTATGTACATTTAAGTTTATCGTTATAGAACAATGTTTCGAAATTCCGCTACATCCAGTTTTGCTCCTTTTGTCCTTGGAATCAAGCCGTGTGTGAGATTAGGCTCATAGAGTGCAATAGTGCATCTACTGGCACTTACACTAATCCGACGCAGTTATGTTCCGGACGTATCCTCTAGTGGAGACCACTCGGTAGAAGTAGGACTATTCTCTTCTTCAAGGAATGAGCAAGGAAACCCATCAAGGATCGATAGACTTACGAGGATAGAACAATAAGTTTCCGGATGCACAAAGTTGCATTATTTTTAAACAAATGCATAAGGTTTTCTCGAAGTACTCTCTACCAGCCTTCATACCCAGTTCCATGAGTTCAAACCATTTCAAGAAGCAGTTAGACCATGGCGAAGCAGGTAACCATTCAAGCAGTTCAAGAAAGTTCTCTACCGCAGCTTCTGGAGACTCGTAGCGGGTTGCGCGCGTCATGAACTTGACATTTGGGAACTCAAAAATGTCACACGGGGCCAGGTCTGGACTATAGTTTGGGTGAACAACCTCCTGGATACGTTCTCTAGCAAGAAAATCTAGGATGACATGAAACTTGTGTGTAGGTGCGTTGTCAAGGTGCAGCAAGGTCCTTCGTGTTCAGATCCTTGGATGGCACTTGGCTATATCTGCCAGCATTCGTGACAGACAATGGGTGGCACACCAGTCTTCGGTGGTTGTGTATTGCCGTACGAGCGGCACAATGGCCACACGACCGGTCTTGGCTACGAACACAGCCACCATCTGCTTGGCCACGCCGCGCTCACCGAGGAATTTCTGAGGCGGCGCCCAACCAACGGCAGTCTAGTGAGCCGATTGTTACTTGGTTTCCGGGTCGAAACTGCACGCACAGATCTCATCACCACTTAGGATCTGCCAAACAGCTTGGAACGTCCAGCATAGAACGTGACAACCATGGTGCGGCATTAATACATTTCAGCTGCTTTCTGGACTACACTGAGCTGACGGGGTACCCAGTGTGCGCATGCTTTTCTGATGCCGAGGTTCTCATGTAGGATGGCATGGATTGATCTCAATGAGATCCCGATGGCTTTCTCCAGCTATACTACAGTTACCCGAAAGTCATCTTAAAGCATTGCTTGCACAGCAGCAATGTTGTCCGCGGTGGTGGCCTAGCCATAGGTGGACCACACCGTGCTTCATCATTTAGGGGTCGCCTGCCACGATTGAATTTCACAAACCACATGGTGATTCGTGAATGCGCATCATCATCCAACGCATCACGCAATCGTTCAACACTCTGATGCTGCTTTGAACCACGAGGACTGTATACCCCGTCACCTCCAACAACGATCAACTGTCTCCTAGAGCCAGTAGTTCAAGTGGAGGGTGTTAATCAGGTAGGCACCTTGTCGACATTCACATCAAGCGCAACCACACCCGAGATATCAAGCAACAGACAACACCAGAAATGCAAGAAATTCGAGATGCAGACACACGTAAAAACCAAGTGCAAGGTTTGTTTGCACACGTACCACATCAACCGCATTAGTCGCCTAGGCTACTCAATCGAATGGAAGCGGACGCACTGCGGTGGTGCCGATTAAATAATCAGCTGACCTGTCTTTTGGATGCTGGTTCCGCGTGGCCACGCAAGAATCACCGGCACTCGCGACCGTAATTGTTACAGACCCCACACGCCTGAGGTCGACGAGCTATCCTGTCGTTTCCGTACCCGGCGATTCTCCTCCGAATGCAGCAGTGCTATCTCCAGTGCCTGAGCAATTGTCCGCTTCAGTAACTCAGGCTACTTGCGCCGATCCATCACCATTGCTATAAAACATCGGAAATCAACATCATATAGTGATGAACTCCTCCCGATCATATCCTGGTAACGAAAACTCGGTCGTCAAACTTGTCCACATAGCAGCTGCTTGACTATCAGCGTTGAATTTATGCCAGATCCACTAAGGTGTCGCAGCAGAAGTATACAGTCCAATGCATACATGCCACTGAGACGAAGCATTGCCGATTCTGCAATACTGTCGAAACAACGGGTGTGCATAATTCGATAAAGCTGTTGTTGTAAGCGCACAAGATAACGGACCTTCCGATGGACAGTCCACGTTTTACTGACGTATACAAGCACGCACAGCACCATCGACAGGTATACATACAGCGTCGTACCGAAGGTTAGCTGGTGATTCCTTTAAAAACGATACTCAAGTTTGCTAAATGCAGCAGCCCCCTTCGATACGCGGATGTGCAGCTCATTCGTCATCTGCAGGTCGGCTACAATTACGCTACCATGGTAGCGAAATAGGGAGGTGGTTTGCAAAACATCGGTAGCAAACTGGATTCGAAGCAGATTCACGGATTCTACTCTTGGTAAAAAATGAAAATGAATCTTGCTTGTGCTGGTTATGAATCCGGATTCTGAATCTGTCGAAGCCAGTCGAAGTCATGCGCTGCAACTCATCCGCGCTGTGTGCAAACAACGTACAGTCGTCAGCAAACAGCAACATACGGATATTTGTCGCACACACTAGGGTTCACACCCCGAAATGACGGATGTTTAGTAACCCACAATCAATACGGTATTCCATACGGACACGGTAAGCACAAACCGCATCAAACGCACAAGATATCATTGCATGAAAATAAATATTAAACAGGGAGGGAGCTAAGACACAGCCTTGCTCCACACTAGACACAACAGAAGAGTCATCCGAGGTTTGTCCACACAGCTGCACCATCGCCTGCAAAGCAGTGTGCAGACATTCAAGTAAACTTACAAACCTATTCTTACAACCAAACTTACCCAACACCAACCACAGTGCCTCGCGGTTCATCGTGTCAAATGTCTTCGTGAAATCTATGAAAACAGTGAATACGATGGTTGGTATCGCTTTCTGCACTCCTGCTGCAATCGACGTGCCGCGGACACCACTTCTATGGAGTTGCGGCCCGAACGGAATCCACCCTGCTCTTCCGCCACGTTCGGTTCTACAACCTGGATGACAAGGCGGATGAGCAGGATCTGGGCAATCACCTTGCCCACATAACTCAGCAAACTGATGCATTGATAATACGCGCAACATTGTTTGCTCTCTCTGCCCTTGTACAGTGGTAGCACAAGGGCATCCTTTCAGCTCAGGAGGCACATCCTCTTCAATCCACACGTGTTACACCGTGGTGCAGTACATGTGTCAACGCGGGACTGCAGTGTTTCAATACTTCAGGTGGGATCCCGTCGGCGCCCTACATTTTCCATTTCCCCTGCTGAGCGAGTGCTCATTGCGTCTCATGCACTGTCGGTGTTTCGGCAAGACACCACTTCACCAACTGCTGTTGCATCGTGTACAACATAGGCCAGTCAATCTCTGAATGATTGTTCGAGAGACAAAGTGTGTTCACCAGATCCGCATTATATCTGTAGTCTGTGTGCAGGCAGCGCCTGAATTAGTATCGAACAGCATCCTGAATGGCTGCAAACCCGGTTCATACACCGCTTTCAAGGAGTCAAAGAAATCCGTATTGTGGTGGCGTTCGGCGCAACATTCCATTTGCTTCGCCTTTTTCCGTCCACCATGCATTCTGGATGCGACGGAGCTCACGAGTCAATCGCTGTAGAAGTTTGCGAAAATGATTCCTGTTCTATTCATCGGTAGGGGCATCCAGATACGCAGCGAACGCTGCATTCTTCTCCGACAACAATGCGCCAATGGTTGCACTGTTGTCATCAAACCGATCAGTTCGTTTAGAGTTTATGCACCCGCTCGTTTTCTAGGTCACAGGTGCCCCCTGTGCATAGATGTGGCACTACAGGTGGCCGGCTGATAAAAAAGCATCAGCAGTACGTTACTACGCAGTACCGACGCTTTTTGCCGCGCAACCATCACGAACTGCACGTGGGCTAAGGGTACTGCGAGAGTCGCCCGGTCCCTACGTAGACCCGAACCCGCGCCCTCGAATTACAGGACAGGCTTGTAATCTTTAAGGCTACGGGCCGGCTGATGCGATGCAGTAGACATCGCCAGGGCGGACAGCCATCGCTTCCTCTAGTTACATCCTCTTTTTAAAATTAGGTGGGGAAAGAACATTAAATTTTCGCCGGTTCACGACAGGTAAACAATAAATAGATATACAAAAATGTGTACTATATATATGCATCAATCAAATGGAAAGATATATTATCTTCCAAAACCATGAAAATCAATGGAGGATGACGGGAAAAATATTACGATCAATACGAAAGACTTATTATTCCACACGCTGTTATACTCACTTTTTTTAAATCTTATTCACTGTTTGAGCAGTTAGTATTTGAATGCTAACCATTATGTATCCAAAGCTTCCATTGGTTTCAGTTGCGCGCCTTATTCTGGAGTGTTTCGCGCAATAGGTACCATTCGTCCTTTGGTTCCCAACCACACAGGCATGTGGATCCATCGGCAACTAGACGTGAGGTTAACATTTTCATACGCTGTCTCTAGGTGGACGCCTGACTAACGCGCAGTCCCTTTCAAACGAGACCTGCCCGAGCGAACAGGTCGTGATGGGGAAAACGTTCAGAGTACATACATAAGACGTGAGACAGCCATTTAAACAGGCTCAGCTAAACCAGTTTGTTGGAGAGAATACTCACATCCCCTAAGACACGACGTCTAATTTCACCACTGCAAATACGCTGTCGCCACCATCATTATCATCATTACACACGTTCGCTAGAGGTAGGAAACACCTCAGCTACTGTGCCGCAATACATAAAAGAAGAAAAGGGGGAATGCAAAAATGTTGTTGCCACCACACATCAGCAATGCTCCTTAAGCATCCATTGTCGAAGACCGGGAGCCGGCGCATATTACCCAAGCGAACTAGCCATAACTCGCATCTATACAGCAACAGCGCCCGAACGGCGACCTTGTAAAAACGACCCTTTACCAAGTGGTAGACATCCCGACGATGCAGTTATGGCGATGCAGAGAGAAAATTCCTTACCAATAGTGCCATTAACAGATACACAGCTACTGAAGGAGACAACTGTCCACATGTTCAAGCTGTGTGCCTTCAAAAGTGAGCAGGTGAACAAGTGAGTGCCAATCCTAGAGCAGCACATGACATCTAGTGAGGGCGAAGCCCATTGTCTACCTAGATGCCTTAATCTTCAGACGGTTCAGAATAGTTTGCATACTCCGCGAGTAAGCGCCAAATGAGGCGATGTCATCAACATAATCTAAATTGGTCATTCGTTTACCCGATAGCAACTCCAAGCCAAACGTTTGGTAACCGTAGGGAGTTCTTGACAGGACGTCTTCAATTGAAAAATTGAAGTACGGTGACATAGGGCAGCCGTGTCGTACACTGCCACTGACAGTGAATGGCAAAGGAACCTTGCTACAGACCCCCATTCTGTCGGAGATGTGGAGACAAAATGCTCGCAAGATATTAGTACACGTTTCCGGGACCCCGTACCTTAGCAACCAACGCCTTAGCGCAAGTCGATCAACCGAGTCGAACGCAGTACGGATGTCTAGAAATTCAATGATGATATGCGTATGGTGGCCGTGTCCGAGGATATAGCGGAGCCTGAATATCTGATTCATGCGCCAACGGCCAGGACAAAATCCAGCTTGTTCTTCCCGGTACTGTGATTCACGAACGGGGGATAGTCTACGGAGAATAATGGATACCAATAGTACAAGTGGTCCCGTGTGCTTAAGACAAACCGGTCGGGTAAGTCATCAACGACGCCATAAGGAGTGAAGATGGAAAGGGTGAAACGTATGTCAGATATTTAAGTGTTAGTACCGCACGTCGTTAATGTATGTGTAATCTGTTACCACAGGTAGATGCAGGACACCTACTAGTGAGATAACGTTGTCACATGTTTGACAGCCCTAGCGCAAAAGTCGACAAATAGCATAGCTGACGGATACCAACACCTCGATAACTGACTTCGGGAGAAATGTTAATCATTAACTCAGTAAACAGTTTTCGTTGCAATACCACGCTCAAAAAGCGGTTGCAACAAATGTTTAACGGGATACGGCCCAGCCACCGCCTTGTGTACGTCTGGAATGCTTGTTTCCCCGCTTCATCAAATGGATGATATGCATGTTGAAGGAATGTGGGCTAGCTGAGAGTCAATCGTGGCTCTTATCTACATGCCTTCCATTCGTACTCCCCCGGGTTTACACAGGACATGTGGCGCGTGGATTGAGCTGTGGGTGGAGCACCGCAAGCCAATCACTGTCTCTGTGAATGCACAGGCGTCCTGTAGGTGTTCGCAGTTCTATTGAAAGCAGTATCCGGAAACGGATGCCGCGATGACTTCAAATGACTTCGGACAGTGATGGAATAAGAGGAATGAAAGCGGAGGCATGCAAAACATGGAGAGTACGACGTGGAGAAATGAAACGTACAAAAGGAACCGAAAGGTCTTGTATACCGTTACAGTGATTCCAAGTACGCTGTCTGTCAAGATAGAGAATGCGTCAGGCCAGTGCGAATGTTTTCACGTAGGCACATGCCATATGAAAAAAGTGTACTTTTTGGACAAACCTGGAGGAAAACAAAGTTCCGTTTGACAAGTTGGTAAATCCGCGGGTCTTTCCACACGTCCCGATTCAACAGATGGCAGTCGAAACATCCCTCATCGTGTAAACTGATAAGCAACCATCGTTTACGCTCCAGAGCTTCTGTTTGTGCCTACGAAGTGAACAGTGAGATAGTATGTTACGAATAGAGGATAAGAGAGGCATGAAGCAGTGATTAACAGAGCAGATTTTATTTACGGGGTCAACACAAAAGGCATGTGAGAACGGTAGTGGATATCGTTTTTTAAGTATGGGTAGGAGACAGGCGGAAAGTGCAAAGCACAGAGAGTTGAGATGCACAATTCCCTAAAGAAGGACCCCACCTATTGTCAGCGTCACGGTGGTAGAGCGCTTTGATTGATTCCCAAAATCAAAGGGTTAACGAGGCACTGGTTACAGGCCAAGCTAGTTCAAATCAAGTCAAAAAGGGCTTTATGAACAATACTGGGAATATTTTGAGTATTTTTACACTAGCATTGCGGATGTAGTGAGGCATAACGTAGACATGGAATTGCAATAAAAGCGTGAAAAGAAGAAAACATGTATACACATCACCCAAGTATGCGTTCATAAGTGATGTTGATAAGTTTCTTGGACTCCACAAGAAAACGGAATATGTTTAGAGTCATGGTAAGATGTGCGAGAAAACAAAACCTTAAATTTAGAGCGAGTAGACGAGCAGGAGAGAGAATTTGATAAATCAGCGTGAAGGCGGTGAAAATGGTAATTTAAAACCTTTATTGAAAAAGTGTCATATGCACCAAAACGCATAGTGACGATGAAGTCAACCAGATTCCCTATGCACTCCAGTGCACCTGGAAATGAGCTTATGGAACGCATAATCAATATACACCAATGTACTCAAGTGTTGATGAACTGGGTATGTCGTTGTCGCATACGACCATGGGGCGAGAAGTGTTTGTCAGTCAGACGTTTGTCAGTGTGCAGAAAAGAGAAAGCAGCACCACTGCATTTAGAGGCGTTGAGAATAAGGGATCGATAGGACGACCATTGTTGAATCTGCTCGAACCCGCTTTGTAGAACCGTTAACGTTTCAGCAGTTGGAGCAATGCTGCCTAGTACTACGTCGTTAGCGTAGTTAAAAAAGTAAAGTTGGAGGGAACTGGAAGGAGTTCGATGTATAGAGAGAATAGAAGAAGAAAAGGATTGTTTCATGTAAGACGCTCTAGTCATTACGCAGAGTGGGAGTTAAAATTTTGCTGGGTAAAATGAGATCGACCTACGAAGTAGTTGATCATCAGGCACGGGCGCTATCTTGGCAGGCCTCCAAATATCAGGAATACTTTCAATGTGTAGGTGTTAGGGGAAGAAGACCCTAACGAAATCGGTCGGACAGAAGATTCAGCGCTCCGGCTCGAAGATGATTCGCTTGTCTCATGGTCGTGACCTTGGTTCAACTAATGAGATTGCCACATTTCCAATTTCAAGGTCATTCTGTAGGACTTTATAAACCAATGAAATCGTATCCTATGCACCTCGATTGTCTTCTCGCAAGATGGTTCCTTATTGACGTCATTCGAGTGTTGTTTTGAGTCGAGCCTTTGGGCACGTCCACGATATATAGAAGGCCACTACAGAAGGCAACGATTAAAAAAATCTGCCAAGTGCATGGTAAGGGTATTGGCCATCTTTTTCAAGGCAAGTGGTGTAAGAACCCACCTAGAAGCCAACTTTGAGTTCAGATTTCTAAGCTGACGGTAGACTTTAACGTTATAATGTAATTTTTAGCCAGAGCCAGAGAACGTAGGCAAAGAGAAGGAGGGGGTGAAGGATGTTACCGGTGAAAAACAGAACTCAGAATTTAGTCCCCTACATTCACAGATGTAAGCTGCTTACTGGAGCTCTTACCGCACAGCTGCTTTAAAAGTCTCCACAGGTCTCGGCAGTTGTGCTCGCATAAAACGCCTTTGATGTGTAAATTATTCAAGCGTAAAAACGTGTTTTTATTACTCAAGAGATGTTTGACAAGGGCAGTCATTTTACATATGTAGGTGCGATCATTTTTCCTTCTAAGTAGATGGTTACGACGGGGCAGCACAGATCAGAACAAAAGTTAAGATAGTAAAATTATCACATTGAACAGACAGATATCCGTTGTTGGAAGCTGTAAAATCAGCAGAATTCAGCATTTCCTGAAGTCCCACGATATTGGATGAAGAAATCTCGTCGCCGCAGTTTTGAAGGGCTTATTAGCCAATGAACCGGAGCGAGTCTTACCAGAAACGACGGGATACACTTTTAGGGTACAGTAGAGCACAGTTTTGAGCAGAAAACAGCCAGGCGTGATTGTGAAGATGAAATCTAGTTGCGCTGGTCGAAAAGGCCCCTAGGTTAGTCAAATCAAGGGTCCGAATGAAGGAAATTTCACTTTCCTTGTAATCCTCGGCAATGACAGATGGAGCGGTCAACCTTCGACAGTAACCCCGAGAATAAATCACCTACAGAAATTTTCAATTCTGATGCTTGTGTGTCTGGGGATATGTATGTAAGCACAATAAAAACAGAAAAAACATTAAAAACTTTGGGATACATTCGATGAAATGGTAGCTGATTGCGACCGCTGAGTAGGTAAAAATATGAATGACGAGTCACTAGCATTAGTTTAAAACCGTAATGCAGTGGTACTATGATGCGGCATTCTGCGCCTGACAGTGCACATGATCGCAGCAGCTATGGGACGCAAACTACTGGAGTGATTAAGCATAAAGCGCAGCTAGAAAAACGGTAGGTGTTTTCCTGACCTCTAGGCACGAACGACGAAACGCGATCGTTGTGAGAACAAGCAGGTGAGTACAGGAGCTATGACAACACTCGGACGCCCTGGATATTCCCTCCTTCCCCCCCCCGTCTATTGAGCAAGAATCTGCCGCTGACTTTGCTGTTGCTGGTATAGACACTCGAAACTCGTCCATCAAACCACGAGTTTCATTTCATATTGGTTCGTCTAACGTCCGCAATTAAGGACAGATCGGTCAATAAGCAGCACTGACTCACTCTTCACTCTCTTGGCATTGATGTGTGCTGTGTCTCCAAAACACGCATACAAGATAACAGCGTTGTGACGAATCGTCGATTCGCTGGCTCTGAATCTGACGACGATAACTACACTTTTCGCGTCTCTGGTGATAACGAGTCAATGATTTAAGGTAATTACGGTGTTGTTATCGCCCACAGAAGAGGTGAAGGTAATCGACTCGACTAGATACCGGTGAACAGCCGCAGGTGTGCGGTTCGACTTCGAATCTCTAAGGGGGTTATTAAACGGTATGAAGACAGATTGCATTTTCATCGCCACCGTTTATGCTCATACTGAATGCAGTTCGAAGTGACCAAAGATGATTTCTATCATCATCTTTCATCTCTTCTCCGCTCGATTGGCGTAGAGTAGGAACCCCACGCATTGTCTGATGGTGGGATGGCAGCTTCCGGTGCTCGGTGATTTGCTACCGCCAGCCTGAAACTAGGCAGCCCTTGGTCAAATTGATACAAACCCGCCAACTCTCACCTGAGGTTGGCCTTGGTCGCAGGTCGTAAAAAGATCGTAAAACACATGTGAATTGTTCCAAATCTTCAAAGGCTGTGCGTGACAGGCCGCGAGCGGATCCCAGTGAACCGCTGCAATCACATTCCTGAGTCCGACTTACACCCCACTGCCTTGTATGTCAGCCTATTGAGCCAAAGGCGCCGGATGGTGTCCCTCAAGCGAACACCAAAATCTCCAACTGCCTTGTGAGTCAGACTGTTGAGGCAAAGCCTAGCATTAGGGCACCACTAACAAAACGTCTCACTCGGAATGGGCAGCCGGAGAGTACTATTTGCCCTTTGGACCACATCGACAATACTCCCTCTTTTCCTTTTTTCTCCTCTTCCATCTCATCCGCCCCATCTATTGAGCAAAAGATTGCCGCTGACCTCGCTTCCTCTGCCATCGATACATGTAACTGTTCCATCTTTGGTTCTGTTAACATCCACGCACTAGGTCAGATCGGCCAGCAGATAGCACTAACGCTCACTCTTCACTCTCTTGGTATCAGTGTGTGCTGTGTCTCCGAAACGCGCACAAAAGATAACAGCATCGTGACAAATGCTCGACTCTCTGGTTCTGAATCTTCCGCCAATGACTATATTCACGTCTATGGCGATACTGACTTAACAGCTCAAACTATTCACGGTGTTGGTATCGCCCTCAACAAACATTCTGAAAGCAGTCTAGTCGACTGGAGGGAAGTGAAAAGCAGCATGTGTGCGGTTCGACTTCGAACCACTATTACAGTTGATAAGCTGCACCTGAAGGCAAGGTGCCTTTTAATCGCCTCAGTTTGTATCCCTACTGTATGCATTTAATATGATATTAAAGACTATTTCTATCGATAGCTCTTATCTCATCTTCGCATGGCGAAGAATACAAACATTATGATTGTTGCTGGTGAATTGAATGTTCAAGTGGGTAGTCTTTCAGACTGAACAACACCTGGGAGGGCGCTTCGGAGTCGATGCACGCCGAACAGACAATGGTGATCGATTCCCGCAACTGTGCGCCGATCATAACCTTCACCTGAGCAGTACTGCTTTCCAGCACAAACGTTCACACCGTGTCATCTGGACCCAAATTGATCATATTGCCATCAGCTACAGGTGGCGCACATCAGACCAAGACTGTTGGTCAATTTGGAGCATACGCCTGAATTCTGACCATGCTCCAGGGCGCGCGCTTGGCGCTCACTCTTCCAGCTTCAAAGAACCGCTTACTTTCTAATCTTCTTACCTATAAGTTGAACTCGCAGTCTGTGGTTCAACAATATCATGACGAACCGACCCATCAATTGCCAGTGATGAATGAGGTTGGTGAGCTGAACGCTAACCGTGATCGTCTCAAGTGTGTGATGAAGAATGCCTTTGACGCTTGCTGTGCACCCAACTTGAGACGTCGTAACCGTGAATCTCTGAAGTATCAATCAACCAAACTACTATACCAAACCGATTGTTTCCGAACCTCTCTGAACTCATGACTACTCGATCGGTTCCAAGTATCTTCCAAGAATTTGAAGTATCAATCAGTTTGATCGAAGAGCGTAAACGGGTTCCATAACACCTTGAAACGACGTCTGACAAGGAGTCTTCGAATTGACCGGGAATGTTGTTGGGTTCCAACGGTCGGTGAGATGGAGAGAATTATTGCTATTGGAGACAGCCGAATGCTATTCCAGCTCATCCGGAACACGGATACGAGAAAGCAATCAGTTAACGAGAGAACAGCTAAGAAAGATGGACAGTTGATCGATTCTGAGCATCGACTAGCACGTTGAGCTGAACATTTTAAGAAGCAGTACAGTATGCCTGCTGCGACACTGCCGCTTGTCGAACCACCTGAGTCTACGTGGGAAGGTGACAGCACACTACGCATTTTGGAAGAGATTCGATATGAGCATTCCGCATTGAAACGGAACAAGGTAGTTGGACCCGACGACCTACCCCCACCTTTGCTGAAAGATGGAGGCGACTGCTCATTGTCTGCACTTGCTTCTCTTTACAACACAATGTGAGACAGTGAAGAAGTGCCTTCAGATTGGTGATTATCAACTGGTGTGCCTATTTTCAAGGACGGTCAGCGTACTTTGTGCGAAAATCATCGAAGCATTTGCCTTATTTCCATTGCCTCAAAACTTCTCACGGATATTATTCTTCGATCACTAGTCCCCTCGAGGACCGAATCACTGAAAGCCAGGCTGGCTTCCACCCTGGCCCTGGTTGCATCGACCGCCAAGTTTTAGAGCAGAGAGAGACATGCATACGACCGACTATGGTGGTTTCCCTTGAGTTGAAAACCGTTTTCGACTCCGCTGATCGAGACAGCTGGTGGCGCTCCCTCTCCATGAAGTGCGTGCCAACTAAACTCCTATCTATTCTGCAGTGCCTTTATCGTGATTTTGGAGGCCACGTAAGGGTCTACGAAAAATTCCTTCCTGATTTTCTCACGACAAGTGTGGTTCGTCAGGGTTGTCCTGTATCTCATTTCCTCTTCAACTTTTGATCGAAATGATCATGAATGACTCCGTTCTTTCAGAATATTCTGGAGTGGAAGTTCTGCAGGAAACCGACTGACAAACCAAGAGTACGCGGACGACATAGCTCTCCTAGGGTCTGATGCGGTGACTATGAAAACACCACTGGATTAACTGACGCACAGCGCTACACGTTTCGGCATGTGCTTCGCACCATCAAAGTGCAAAGTACTACTGTAGGACCGGACCGGTATAGCCCCGATTATAGCTATTTCCGAACAGCCACTGGAAGTGGTGGATCGGTTCACTTACCTGGCTGTCACCTTTGGTGGTTACATCACTGAAGAGATTAATTCGCGTATCAGCAAGGCCCGTGTGGCTTTCCAGAGGCCCAACTATCTATGGAGACGGCGGGACATGAGCATATCAGTGAAAGTTAGGGTCTACAACCCTGCGGTAAGGCCAGTCTTACTGTATGGATAAGAGAATTTACCTGTCCGCGGCGAAGAAATTAAACGCCTGGTCGTGGTTGACCACCAGTGCCTGCAGAGTATTGCTCACGTCTGATAGGAACATTGGGTGAGCAATGCTGAGGTCCGCCGGTTGGTTTTTGGAAAAAAAGCCTTCTGGTGACTCACTAGAATGTTTGCTAAATCTTAGTCGCTTGTGCTGGCTAGGTCACGTTCTCCGTATGCCCATTGGTCGGCTTCTTCGACGTGCATTATATGCCAGGGCGGCACCAGGTTGGGCGAAGTCTCGAGGTGGTCAGTTCATGACGCGGCATTTAGGCATGAAGAAATTGACTGAGACTTGGTCAGGCTGGTGGGTGCCGTGTTCCTGGATGGGGGCATCGGGACGGTCCACAACAATGGTTGAAAACCGTGTCAGATATGGCACAGCCACGAAGTTATTTCATTTGGTTGTTAATTTTCGCCCCATTCTGATTGATTTAACGCATTTCCCTTCTGCTTCTATTTTCTCTACATTCTATGCGCACCCAAACCCAATGTTGTTATTAATTGTTATGCTTACGGCGTAAGTCATGACAACTGGATCCACCGCAGCTCGGTACTCGGATCATAATTATTTACCTGTACTGAACTGTCATGGCGGCGCCATAAATGCCTAAGCTTAGAGAAAGCGAGACGAGCTCTTGAGATACGCAACGAAATCTCGTCTCCAACAGCTTCACCAGCGGTGATGCAGTTTGGGTGGGCGCTCACGAGACCGGACGTAGACTAAGACGCCACCGAAGACAGTAGATAGCCCATCACAGCGGAAGCACGAGTAGCCACTAAGTTCGACTTGTTGGGTGAGTAGCACATTGTTCAACCCCGTCTTTGTGATGTCAATTACATATGGTCGTTCGAAAACAACGAAGCAGTACAGTTTATCGCGCCTGTGCATAAGATTGTAGACCTAGGTAAAGTCTACACGCAGACAGCGGAACTGCCAGGAGTGCCTGAAGAGTGAGCGACTGATTTACTCAATTTCGTGTTCGTGTTGTAATCATCCGAAAATTCGCAAAACGTAAGCTTATTTCTCCCTCATCGGTTAACCGCTTTAGTCCGAGAGTGGCACGCTTGAGGCACCCCAGGTCAGCTTGATCTATATCCAGACGAATATGTACCCTGTCACCTCGAAGTGGTTACCGCGGGAGGAAAGTGGCCTCGAGCCTTGCTTGACCTGACTTGTTTTTAATAATCAGCGAGAAAATTCTCTTCCAATCACGGCTTATGTCGTTGAGTTTTCCATGGCTCCTCAACCATTGGACATTCATTCCGGTCTTTAGAGCCAGCAGAGTATAAAGTAAGTGGATTGTAGTCTCAGTTGTTCTCTTCCTTTTGTAAAAATTAGGATGGTGTGGTAATGAACTGTCAGAGGAAGTGGTGGTGTTGAACCTCATGTGGAATCTAGGCCAGTTTGTCTGACAATATGTCTAGCAATGCTCACATTTTTATCTGCGATCAGCATCAGTAGACGCTACACATTGAACTGAACTGAATTTAATGAGTGATTTCTGCATGTGTCTCGGTTGGAGATCACGAGTTTTCAGGTAGCATCAGGAGGCGCACTAAATTTTTACGGTTTGTCTATGTTCGGAGAGACTGCATCTCGTAGGTTATCAAAACTCACTGGTGCAAATAGGCATCCGAATCGGTAACGGCTGCACTGATTAGCTAGATTTGCAATGTGGTTAAACGGCAAAAGTACGTTAACATGTCTTGATCGTCTCCTTGACTTGCCATTCAAAGAATTATCCATGGCGCTCAATGAAAATAGAGGATAGTGCGTGCGGTCTGGGATATGAAATGGTGAGGGAGGGTGGGAAAGTAGCGTGGATAGTTCGTGTAGACAACTCTCAAGCGATCCCGAAAGAAATGCTTTTACATCCGATCGGAATGTACTTCAATGCATAGATCGATGCAGGTGGTGATATGATCGTGCCAATAATTAGTACCGGTCGGCCGGTGGCCGTGGTCTGCGCGCCTGGTTTGCAACCATAAGGTCGCCGGTTCGAATCCGCGTGGGGGGAGGCGTCCTCGCGGTATACTCAGCCCGCGCGCGACTGGTGATGGTCGTGCGGCAGCGAAGCGCCGTTATGACGTACAGCTGACACACTATTTTATTCCTTATAATTAGTACCTCGGAGTAATTATCATAGTATATATGAGGACAGAGACCCGTTGAATTGAAAGGAATACGTACGCACGTGGATAAATGAGCATAAAGAAACATGTGCTCAGGAGTATGCATCTAAAAACATGCTTGGTTTTGGCAATGTGACTAAAACGAAATGTTAACGTGGGGTGCTATTGCTGACTGATGCACCGAGATTCCAGGTCGTTCTGAAGAGTGGTGTACTGGCATATGCATGAGCATAACATGTCTGAAATGTAGTGGACAGGGCCGCAAAATTTAACTCACAGACGCGAGCGTGCCTTTGAACAGCAATTCCGTCGGTGGTTGGTATAATTGGCGAAGATGATCACTCTTCTTCGCCTTACTCTCACGCGACCCATTTTGGTCAGGACACGTAGATAAGGTAGCAGTTGAAGTACCACTAGTGTGTAGGGAGGTAGAGGAGCCGGAATGTGCCGATAAAGACTGTAAGTGGAAAAAAGGAAAAATAGCGCGATGGAAAAGGTTCGATCCCCAAGTGATAGTTGGATGAAATAAGAGCATGGCCGAGGATAGTAGAAAATAACTACAGTTAAAGAAAATAACCAAACTTAGGAATGAGCAAATATTTATACAGTCAGAAGGACAACAAAAGGATGAGGATTTTAAGTGGTTCTAGGTGTAAAAACACAGCTAGGCCGAACTTAGGCTGTGTAGCTTATCGTTCAGCGAAGTGCACATGTCAAGTAGCAAGCTTCAGAGGTGGCATTTCAAGATGTTAGTTCAACGAGTACGTTTCGGATTCCATAACTCCGAAGGTTTGGCTCGAGCACATCATAGTGGTTCCAATAAAATCTAGATCAAACTATGCAGATAGATTTGTAAGATGACACAGAATGAAATTCTGTAAGGTATGCTCATTAGTCAGAGATACGTTTAAGTGACAAACGGGTTACACAAAAGTTCGAATAAGTAAAGTATACTCAAAGGTAGAGGTATACCACCACCACCACCACAACAACAACAACAACAACAACAACAACAACTGAGTCCACTATTCTACTCTTTACATGAGTGATCAGTACGCCGGTACGCAGTAGACGCCTCGCTTACACGCAACCACCACCAGTCGCACGAAGGCTATAAATATGCAAAAGTCGCCCGGTCTATACGTAAGATGGAACCCGTGCCCTCGGATTACAAGGCCAGCTTGTGATCCTTAAGGCTACGTGCAGAGGAAAGATAAGCAAGGGGAAAGCCAAAAACCTAGATCTGTATAAGGGAGTACGTTACAGTGCTTGGTGGTAGCTGTCAAATGATATGAAAGAATGTAGAAGTACGGCAAGTAAATGAAACCTAGCAGTTAAGAGCCATATCCGTAATACCGTGACATTTATGGGAGGCATGAAAGTACGGGATAACGAGTAGGTGATTACCGAATTAGACACGTAACCACTAAGTGTAGTTGCACTCGAGGTATTGGAGATACGTTGGCCTCCGAAAGCCGCGGCGGCCGCAGATGAATCCTCTTCATCGGAATCATCAGTAACGAAAGCCCTGCGTCGACTTCGAAGAGGAACTGTCACAGGAGTAGCAAAAATTGACAAAGTAAGCGAGATGAACCGTAGACAATTTGGAAGACTGCTGCGCATAAACAGATAAACACAGAAACGCGAAATACAGCATTGAGTAAGACGTAAGGTTCGTTCAGAATGAAGTAACAAACTAACAAACACAAATCGGAGTCGCACATGCCAAACAGTGCAAGTGGTGTGCAGGATAAGAAATGGGGACGGTACAAAAAGGTGTGGTTCGAACACAGAACAGATAAGTGACAATTGCTAAAAATTTAGAGAATCGATGGCATCGGAATGATAATCGGTGATCTCAAACTTTACCCGAGAAATCATCACCACGAGACTGAACCGTTAGGTGATGCGACGATTTGCGTAATTCTCTGACCCACTGAGCTACACAGGTGGGGTCTATATACTCCTTGAGAGCTACTCCAAACAGTTCAATCAAAGGTTAGAGGTCAGACAAACACAGTCTCTTGGTCCTCCAGATTGACTTTCAGAAACGAAGCGGCGGTCATTTCTTTCAAAACAAATAACCGCCACGTTCCGCTGCCTTGTACACAGGTATTGGGCCAAAGGCACTGGCTGAGGAGCGTAATTGGGTATGTGATCGTGGAACCCAAAAATGAGGGGGACGGATAAAGAAACGCAAAACACATTACATTAAGGTCGACTTTTTGCCATAGAAACTAGTCAACCCGACCAAACGTGTACATCGTCCTTCGGACTCCAGCCCGGCAGTCGGGAAACAACAATCCACGTCAAAACTTGAAGTGAGGACCTTCATTCCTCTCGACCAAGTCATTGCTCAGCTTCTCCTCCTCTTCCATCCAGACCTCGGGCGCGCAAACAACGCACGATGCCGGAGTCGGCATGCTAGCAGGCGCAACACGTGGCCCAGCTATCGGAGCCTAGTGCGTGATACAACAGTGCTGAGTGGTTCACTCGCTCTTCCTGCACCAAATACGCAACGCTGAACGCGATCGTTGCTCACGCGGTGATCCCAGCAGACATGAACTAAGTTGTGAAGGCAGTGCGGATGGAACGTAACAATCCTCTGTGTCTACCAAACTGATGGCACAGGTTTCACAACCGTATATGAGGGTTGAACGGACGGTTGCATTGTAAACTCCGCTCTTCATGGCGAGAGTGATGTAGCGTCGGCGCCACAGGTAGCGAAGGATAGTGGTAGCGCCTCGAGCTTTTGCTATACGGTTCCTGATCTCATCTATAGCTGCCCAGATACTTGAATTTCTGAACGACTTTAAATGGCCACAAACAAGTGTAAATGCATTAGTGGATCCCTGTCAATCTTGAAGGAATGTTTTGCAATTCGAGGGAGCAAAGAAAAGCCCAAACCGACTGACAGCCAGAAGTAATTTATCCTGTGCAGCTTGGTACGTTCGGGAGCTGACACAGATTAGGGCAACGTCGTCAGCATACTCCAAGTAAAGAAATCGGTCACCTGGGAGCGAACCCCGTTTCCATGACTTCAACAATGGCGAAGTTCAAGAGAAAGGGTGAAAGCGAGCATTCTTATCTCACACCACTGCAGATATTGAAGGGTGGCGATAATTTGCCATAAACCCTCAAACTGCCCGAACTATGCGCGTACAGCGCTATGATAATGTGTTCGTACTTATCGGGCACACCTTTCCTGAACAGACAAGCCCAAAGGACCATCGATCTAATGAATCGAAGGCACATGATGAAGCACGTAGAGACTGGGTGCTGTTCGCAGTTTTCGGGCTGGCAAAAAGCAAACTCTATATGATTTAAGCAATATTATGCTTTTTTTGATACTACGCATGGACAGTGAGATCGTGGTTTGAGTGGGAGGCTGAACGTTATGGATAGGAACAAAGAAGCTCACAGAACAGATGCCATCGCAGTGCGTTCTTCGCAATGTGAACGATATGACTCCAAATAGAGGTGTCCATCATTTTTCGGACCTCAACTCGGGAGTCGAGTCACCAACCGATGGACCATTTCTCTTAACCAAACCATCGGTTGACCTCCCCTCTCTTCTCCAATCCACGCCTCAGTCAGGCAAAAAATTCACGTCACGAGAGTCAGTGTGCTGGCGTGCGTGACACGTGGCCCAGCCATAGGAGCGAAGTGCGTAAACAAATGACGCTGAGCGGTTCAATTGCTCTTCCTGCACCAAATACGCAAAACGAACACCCTCACCGCTCACGCAATGTTCGCACCAAACATGAGCTAAACTGCATCTGTAGTGCACCGGTAAGCAGTACCGACGTTTCGCTGCCGCGCAACCACCAACAGTCACACGTAGGCTAGGGATGCTGCGAGGGTCGCCCGGTCACTACGCGGGAACGAACCAACGCGCCCTCAGCTTACAGAGCAGGCTTGTGATCCTGAAGGCTAAGGGCCCGCACTAGTGGTTAAACGCAATAATCTAAATTATGTTGGTTTCTCTGATGGGCTAGGTTTCACCACCGTATAGTAGAGTTGAACGTACAGCTGCGCAATAGACTCTACTCTTCTGGATGATAACGATATCACGCCGGCGCCACAAGTGGCGTAGATCGACAAAACCACCTCAAGCTTTTGCTATACATTTTGTGACCTCATTTTGGATTGGCCAAGCGCCAATATAATTGCACAGTTAGTTGAGTTTCTGAACTACTTGAACGGATTCCTATCCCGAATTATTGAAGAGGGCGGTCCCTACCCATCTTTGTGTTTGGAGTGTGCAAACTGAACACAAAACGGCTAACACTTAGTGCTTGACACTGATATGAATTGTCACATATTAGCGCGATAACAATGCCATACTCCAACTCCCGAAGTAGATAACCTGAAGGCAGTTCAACACCTTCTTAGTCGTTTCCAGTGAACGCAGTTCCCAGGTTGGTCAATAACAAAGTTAAAAAGGAAAGGTGACAGCGTGATGGCGATATTGAAATGTGGTTCTAGTTTACCATAAAAGCTCGCTTTCGCCGATTTAGATGTGTAAAGCGTGTTTACGGACTTCTCGGGCATCACTTTCTTGATAAACCGAATCGAATGCACCTTTGAAATCGAAGAACACGAGTTCGCTGGCCACGAATATAATTGGCAGTGCTCCGATCACTGACGCAAAGTGAATACGTGATCAATACAGCCTCGGTTTGCACGAAACCTGGCTTTCTCTTTGTGAATCTGGTTTTCACGGGCACCGGTAGATCTGTGAAGGACGAAGGAGACAAGTAACTTAGAGGCGCTGGAGATCAGGCTTAGTTCTCTGTGAGTGTCACATTCTGAACGTGAGTCTCTTCGAAGGTCGGGACAATAGTGGAGCTTCTCCAGCAGATTTGGACAGTTTCCTATTCCCACTGTTTCACTATCAGGCTGTGTAAATTGCCCATAGGATTAGATCCACTACATTTGTAGAGGGCTGGGGGAAGTCCATCTGGTTCTGCGGGATGTTTCCAAATTTTAAAAGCCTGACCTCTCATTTGTCTTCTACACGGTAGGATGGATTCAAATGCCAACCGATGGAATATTTCGATTACTGGCCGACATCGTATCTGGTGATTCTTATCGATTAAGTTGTTTATCAAGTTGATCAGCCTAATGCTCCAAGCATTTTGACAGGTTGCGGATAAGGTGACCATTCTCATGACATACATTTTCGCTGACAACAGGTCGACTGCCCGATTCCCGTACCAGACAGAATGATTTATGATGGTTACCATGTGAATTCCCTGTTACCATCTCCGGGTTACGATAAGACCGCAAAGCTTCGTGGTATCTTTGCATGTGGGCGCGTAATTTTTCGCTGTAATCGTTGCGAGTCCCGTTGTGTTAGCCTCCTAGCTGGTATGTGTCCTGTGCTCTGGAAGGTCCACGGACTGCGTAAAAACCCAATGTCCAAGTTGGTATTCAGATATTAACGCAAAAGTCATCAGCAGTACAGCGGCATATCGCATCGACGCTTCGCTGCCACGTGATCACGAAAAGTCGCGCGACAGTCGCGTATACCGCCCGCATCCACCCGGATTAGAAGCGATGACCTCGGGATTAGAATGCGAGTACATAATCTTTTCGACCACACACCGACATGTAGATATAGTTGCTGCTAATAAGGTCTGGAAAACATGCGACCAATGATCTACAACTGTGTTCAGTGAGCGCGTATGCATTAAATGCCAGAACAGCTGGCTTCGCCAGTTGCCTCACAGCGTCGCTGAGCCTCCACCGAAACGCACTCACAGATCAGCAAATACAAGTGCATAGTATAAGTCCATGTTTGCGCCCTTAATCGAGCGACAGTTTTGAACCCAGCCTCTCCAACGGTAACTGATCGATTCGCGTACATGGCTGGTCCAAAGATGGTGGGCGCCATGTCACCCATCTTCGAGTGCAGTCGGTAGTGATCGCGAGGAATAAACAAGCGCCTTAACATGGAGGTAACAACTCCTAGCCGTTGTTATTAAGGAGGTCTACGCAGTGTTGGCCACCCAGATTTAGGCCATCAATGAACAATTTTCCAACGTGAGTGTTCAGATTACCAGCCAGTACTACATCACCGGTACTTTTGTTGTGACTAAAAAGTTTGTTCAGTTGGTGATAGAAGCCATCTCTACCCGAAAGTAGGATGAGGTGATGAACAGGCAGCTATTCGCTTGGTGACACTTCGTAGATTTGGATGAGCTAGCCAATCTGACGGCGCACAATCGGCCACTGGCTAGTTTACTAGAGCGACTTCATTCCGGAAGCTCCGAACAACACCCCACTGCCCTGTCCTACATTTGAAGCAGTATCATCTCCGGATAGACGCAGTGACAAAGTACCTAACACAGAGCTCAAATCTGAGGGGGAGTTCCCGACAAGCAAAAAATATCAGTCGATAAGGTCCATTGTCCGAATAAATACGATCTGTTGATCGGCATAACGAAGTGCATACGGTGAGACATGCCAGTTGTAGCAAGGATCAGGATTTCAAAATGAAACGAATGTACTGGAGTTGTTTGCATGGCTGGACATGGACTTGTCG